AGGAAAGACTCTGCTAAACACTTCCCACAGCTCTTACTATTGTTACATTAATAAACGAAGGGGGGGAGCGGTAAACTCGTAGGGATCATATAGAGCTAGGGGAATGGGAAGCAAACTGAGTCGATCCAATAGTTCCTTTCTGCAAATGTGTATTCAAGTTCCTTTCTGCAAATGTGTATTTTTCACTATGTGTGAAAAAGATAGCCTCTTCACTCTATACAGTACCTCTCTGCAACTATCTTTTTCACTACTCGTCACTTTTTGCCTTTCTTCTCCATCGAGTGGAGTAGTTTCAATTCTTTGGATGAAGATCCCTTCACGTGCAACGAGGCACCTACATAGAAGTGTCCCCACAACTAGCTACTGTACTCTCCTTAGGTGGACTGCAATCCTCCATCAAGTTAAATGAGTCTTTGCGTCCCGAGCTTTTGTAGGGTTTAAGAGTAATAGAGACGCGTTTATGGCGTCGATGACGGCCGGACGAGGCTATCAGCGAGTCTATATTTCTTCTAAGGGTCTATAAAATACTATAAAATATTCAAAATGGGCAATACCCTGATCGTATTTGACAGAATAGCCTCATATTTTAGGGGAACAAAAATTCCCAAGCGAGTTACTTATCGGGATCAAGGGCAATATACAGGGCTGTCCCCAGACGCAAGAGGAGAGGGAGGGAGGGAATAATGATACAGAGAAAGATAAGGCATAGGGAAGGAGAAAAAAATGGAAAAAATAGAAAGAAGATTATTATTATTTTCACGGGATGCGCTAAACCCGTGTTAAGAACATAAGAATGTAGGAACACTGCAGAAGGCCTACTGGCCCATACGAGGCAGGTCCTTATACAAAGCTAGAAAAGGAGAAAAAGTTGAGAGAAGAATACAAGAGAAAAACGCAAGTAGTTTAAACATAGTAAATTAAATACTGGATGTATTCGCACTGTAAAATGATGTAGAAATGTGTCCAACAGATATAGTAGAAAAATGATGGGAAAGTTCACAGAAAACAATGGATGAATTAATGGAAGTATTTTGAGAGCATCCATGGTCCTACTCTTAATCTGGATAGACCAGAGTACTGATGACAGTAGAAAATAGACAGGATTTTATTGTGACAACACCTCCGCTACCATCACAACCCCTCAACCATCAACACCCGCACTACCACCACCACTACCCCCACCACCACCACCACCACCACCACCACCACCACCACTACCCCCCACCACCACCACCACCACTACCCCCACCACCATACCCCCACCACCACCACGACAACCACTACCATCAACACCCGCACTACCACCACCATCACCACCTATATCCTCCACTACCACCAACACCACCACTACCACCATCACCAATATCCTCTACTACCACCAATACCCTCACTACTACCACCACCACTACCACCACTGCCTCCACTACCACCACTGCCTCCACTACCACCACTGCCTCCACTACCACCACTGTCCTCCACTACCACCACTGTCCTCCACTACCACCAATATTTTCCACTACTACCAATATGCTCCACTACCACCATGCCTCCCTCACTACCACCAACACACTCACATCCACACTTCCACTAATACCCCCTCCTACCACCACTGCCATGAATCAGAGAGAGCACACATAACAGCATAAAACAAATTATTCATAATTCAACAGATAATTCTAATCCCTGAGAACCAAAGACAAGATGACCATTACTCAGAAGAGCACTAATGAGCCTTCCTTACCCAGAGCACCAAAAAGCATAACCAAAACCTGAAATATTAAAAAATATAAATTTGTGATCCACTAGATCTGAGGTTCCCAAAACAGAGGTCGCAACCTGAACTAGACATTATGACCTTCATGTGTGTGTGTGTGCGTGTGTGTTTGTGTGTGGACTCACTTGCCATGAGTTCAAGCCCCACACGTTCCGCAATTTGTTTGCAGTCGTGTTAGAACATAAGAGAGGGGAACACTGCAGCAGGCCAATTCGCCCATACTAGGCAAGTTCTTCTCAAACCCAAATCCACTAACAAAAATATTTGCTCAACCCATTTTCATTGCTATGCCAGGAATAAGCTTTGATAACCCTATTAACTCATGTGCAAGTCCCATTCATATCCAACCACTCTCAAACTGTTCCAAACCATTACATTCCTATATTCCTTCTATATCTAAACTTATCCAATTTGCATCCATTATTTCGAGCCATAGCCGGGTCGAGGCTGTCTGTTTCCTTGTCGGAGTGCATTAGATGTGAACCCACAAAATGTTACTCACATCAACGGTGATGCCTGGAAGGTCGAAAATCTGCATCTTGGGAGTGTCGGCTGGGATGTAGCGGAAGAACTCGTTCTGGCCGCGGTACCACTTCACCGAGTAGAGGACGTCGCCCTCCTGGTCGAAGTTGCACTCCAGCTCCACTGACTCCCCCGTCACTTGGTGTGACGGCACCTTCACTGACTGCAGTTTGAGTCCCGTCACGCTGCTGCTGCCGCACCCTGTGGGAGAAGGAAGACCCAGGGGTTAGCTTCTGCTCTTTTGTGGGAAGAAGGGGTAGGAGAAGAAACAATGCGGGGTAGTGTTAAGTATCTTTATTCAGAAACGTATCGCCTACGTAGCAGGCTTCTTCAGTCGAGTACAGGGGAATGATCCATCAGGTCAAAGACTCTATATCTCTTAAAACTTCCTACCATGGTATGGTTTGTTTGCAATCGTGTCATTACGATTTCGTGAGTCATACCATTCTTCCTTCTGTCATCTGTGCCTCTCAAAACTTCCTTCCGTCCTCTGTCTAACTGTACTCACCTAGTGCCTCGTACAGTATGATGAATAATGACTCATAACCACAAGATTGATGAAGGTATTACCTGGCGAATAGAGGAAATGGATTTATGATATGTATCGTAGCCATTGAACAGTCAAGTGGTTAGGTGTCGATTTTCATAACTTATGAGTGGCACTCACCTCTGGCACTCTAGAGGATGTGTCTGTAGTGTCCTCGGCCTTGGTGGTAAGCAGCGATGATCTCCCTGATGGCACTGCCTATTATTATTATTATTATTATTATTATTATTATTACATTATTATTATTATTATTATTATTATTATTATTATTATTATTATTATTATTGTGAAGTCTAGAATCCGTAGGGGTCATTCACCCTCTGGACAATGGAAGGAAATTAGGTTTTACTCCAAGAACTTGAAGGATAGCTTCAATTCCAGGCTGAGAAACTATTACCTATTATATTGGATTGAAGAAGCCACTGGCTGGTGAAACGTTTCCTCCTCAGTAAAGATTCCCAAATGTTGCACAAGTGTTTTATTCTTCAATTTGTTTGTCTTCTGAACCATTTATTACGTCAGTGTTTAGATCATTCTCTGGCTACGAATGAGAAACGTTCAGATTTAAATGTTGCTTGTTTTTCCTTAAGTCTCCTTGTTGTGTGACGTACCATGGTTGGCTGCCTTTTATTAATAGATAAGCCACTGGTGGGCCAAGCAGCGTGGGCTGGTACCAGGGGCAGGGGCACTCACTCCCAGGCAATCACACTGGTGGGCCAGGCAGTGTGGGTTGGTACCAGGGGCAGGGGCACTCACTCGCAGGCAATCACACTGGTGGGCCAGGCAGTGTGGGTTGGTACCAGGGGCAGGGGCACTCACTCCCAGGCAATCACACTGGTGGGCCAGGCAGTGTGGGTTGGTACCAGGGACAGGAGCACCCACTCCTAGGCAATCACTGATGGGCCAGGCAGCGGGGGTTGGTACCAGGGGCAGGAGCACCCATTCCTAGGCAATCACACTGGTGGGCCAGGCAGCCTGGGCTGGTCCAGGGCAGGGCCCACCGCAGGCAATCACACTGGGGGGCCGGCAGGTGGGTTGGTACCAGGGGCAGGGCACCCCCCAGGCAATCACACTGGGGGGGGCCATTTAGTGGGGGTTTGGTACCAGGGGCAGGAGCACCCACTCCGGGCAACACTGATGGGCCAGGCAGCGGGGTTGGTACAAGGGCAGGAGCACCCACCCAGGCAATCACACTGGGGAGGCACGGGGTTTTGGACCAGGGCGGGAGCCCCACTCCTGGGCAATCACACGGGTGGGCCAGACAACGTGGGTTGGTACCGGGGGCAGGAGCACCACCCTAGAAATCACACGGTGGGCCGGGCCCCGTGGGGGGTACCGGGCGAGCACCCACTCCTAGGAAATCACTGATGGGCCGGCAGCGGGGGTTGGTACCAGGGGCAGGAACACCCATCCTAGAAATCAACTGCTGACCAGGCACATGGTTGGTACCGGGGGCAGGGCCCCCCTCGCAGGAATACACGTGGGCCACCCTGGGGGTTGGCCCGGGGGCAGGGGCACTCACTCGCGGGGCAATTACACTGGGGGGCCGGGCAGTGTGGGTTGGGTACCAGGGGCAGGGCCCCCACCGCAGCAACCACACTGGGGGGGCCAGGCAGTGGGGGTTTGGTACCGGGCGGGGCACTCACTCCCAGGCAATCCACTGGGGGCCGGGCAGCGTGGGTTGGGGACCAGGGCAGGAGCACCCCTCCTAGGCAACACTGAGGGGCCAGGCAGTGGGGTTTTGGTACCGGGGGCGGGGGCACTCCTCCCAAAAAATCACACGGGGGGCCAGGTAGTGTGGGTTGGTACCGGGGGCAGGAGCACCCACTCCTAGGCAACCCTGAGGGCCCCAGGCAGTGTGGGTTGGTACCGGCGGGGGCACTCACTCCCAAGCAATCACACTGGTGGGCCAGGTAGTGTGGGTTGGTACCAGGGGCAGGAGCACCCACTCCTAGGCAATCACTGATGGGCCAGGCAGTGTGGGTTGGTACCAGGGGCAGGGGCACTCACTCGCAGGCAATCACACTGGTGGGCCAGGCAGCATGGGTTGGTACCAGGAGCAGGAGCAACCACTCCTAGGCAATCACACTGGTGGGCCAGGCAGCGTGGGTTGGTACCAGGGCAGGAACACCCACTCCTAGGCAATCACACTGGTGGGCCAGGCAGTGTGGGTTGGTACCAGGGGCAGGAGCACCCACTCCTAGGCAATCACACTGGTGGGCCAGGCAGCGTGGGTTGGTACCAGGGGCAGGAGCACCCACTCTTAGGCAATCACACTGGTGGGCCAGGCAGCGTGGGTTGGTACCAGGGGCAGGAGCACTCACTCGCAGGCAATCACACTGGTGGGCCAGGCAGTGTGGGTTGGTACCAGGGGCAGGGGCACTCACTCGCAGGCAATTACACTGGTGGGCCAGGCAGTGTGGGTTGGTACCAGGGGCAGGGGCACTCACTCGCAGGCAACCACACTGGTGGGCCAGGCAGTGTGGGTTGGTACCAGGGGCAGCGGCACTCACTCCCAGGCAATCACACTCGTGGGCCAGGCAGCGTGGGTTGGTACCAGGGGCAGGAGCACCCACTCCTAGGCAATCACTGATGGGCCAGGCAGTGTGGGTTGGTACCAGGGGCAGGGGCACTCACTCCCAAGCAATCACACTGGTGGGCCAGGTAGTGTGGGTTGGTACCAGGGGCAGGAGCACCCACTCCTAGGCAATCACTGATGGGCCAGGCAGTGTGGGTTGGTACCAGGGGCAGGGGCACTCACTCCCAAGCAATCACACTGGTGGGCCAGGTAGTGTGGGTTGGTACCAGGGGCAGGAGCACCCACTCCTAGGCAATCACTGATGGGCCAGGCAGTGTGGGTTGGTACCAGGGGCAGGGGCACTCACTCGCAGGCAATCACACTGGTGGGCCAGGCAGCATGGGTTGGTACCAGGAGCAGGAGCAACCACTCCTAGGCAATCACACTGGTGGGCCAGGCAGCGTGGGTTGGTACCAGGGGCAGGAACACCCACTCCTAGGCAATCACACTGGTGGGCCAGGCAGTGTGGGTTGGTACCAGGGGCAGGAGCACCCACTCCTAGGCAATCACACTGGTGGGCCAGGCAGCGTGGGTTGGTACCAGGGGCAGGAGCACCCACTCTTATGCAATCACACTGGTGGGCCAGGCAGCGTGGGTTGGTACCAGGGGCAGGAGCACCCACTCCTAGGCAATCACACTGGTGGGCCAGACAACGTGGGTTGGTACCAGGGGCAGGAGCACTCCCTCGGAGGCAATCACACTGGTGGGCCAGGCAGCGTGTTTTGGTACCAGGGGGCAGGAGCACCCACTCCTAGGCAATCACACTGGTGGGCCAGTCAGCGCGGGTTGGTACCAGGGGCAGGAGCACCCACTCCTAGGCAATCACTGATGGGCCAGGCAGCGTGGGTTGGTACCAGGGGCAGTAGCACCCACTCCTAGGCAATCATACTGCTGGGCCAGGCACCGTGGGTTGGTACCAGGGGTAGGGGCACTCACTCGCAGGCAATTACACTGGTGGGCCAGGCAGTGTGGGTTGGTACCAGGGGCAGGGGCACTCACTCACAGGCAATCACACTGGTGGGCCAGGCAGTGTGGGTTGGTACCAGGGGCAGGGGCACTCACTGTCAGGCAATCACACTGGTGGGCCAGGTAGTGTGGGTTGGTACCAGGGGCAGGAGCACCCACTCCTAGGCAATCACTGATGGGCCAGGCAGTGTGGGTTGGTACCAGGGGTAGGGGCACTCCCAGGCAATCACACTGGTGGGCCAGGCAGTGTGGGTTGGTACCAGGGGAGGAGCACCCACCTTAGGGCAATCACTGATGGGCCAGGCAGTGTGGGTTGGTACCAGGGGCAGGGGCACTCACTCGCAGGCAATCACACTGGTGGGCCAGGCAGCGTGGGTTGGTACCAGGAGCAGGAGCACCCACTCCTAGGCAATCACACTGGTGGGCCAGGCAGCGTGGGTTGGTACCAGGGGCAGGAGCACCCACTCCTAGGCAATCACACTGGTGGGCCACACAACGTGGGTTGGTACCAGGGGCAGGAGCACCCACTCCTTGGCAATCACACTTGTGGGCCAGGCAGCGTGGGTTGGTACCAGGGGCAGGGGCACTCCCAGGCAATCACACTGGTGGGCCAGTTAGTGTGGGTTGGTACCAGGGGCAGGAGCACCCACTCCTAGGCAATCACTGATGTTCCAGGCAGCGTGGGTTGGTACCAGGGGCAGGAGCACCCACTCCTAGGCAATCACACTGGTGGGCCAGACAACGTGGGTTGGTACCAGGGGCAGGAGCACCCACTCCTAGGCAATCACACTAGTGGGCCAGGCAAAGTGGGTTGGTACCAGGGGGCAGGAGCACCCACTCTAGGCAATCACACTGGTGGGCCAGGCAGCGTGGGTTGGTACCAGGGGCAGGAGCACCCACTTTTAGGCAATCACTGATGGGCCAGGCAGCGTGGGTTGGTACCAGGGGCAGGAGCACCCACTCCTAGGCAATCACACTGCTGGGCCAGGCCGCGTGGGTTGGTACCAGGGGCAGGAGCACTCACTCGGAGGCAATCACATTGGTGGGCCAGGCAGTGTGGGTTGGTACCAGGGCAGGGGCACTCACTCGCAGGCAATCACACTGGTGGGCCAG